ACCACTTGATTCAGTTTATGGTAATCTACCATCATTCTCCAAGACCCAAATGTCTTTTGTACAGGCCAAATGGGAGAATTAAAAGGAGATGTGGTGGGGACCACCACCCCTGCATCCTTCAACTCCTTGATAATGGCACTAATCTCTGGAATCCCTCCAGGAATGCGATACTGCTTTTGGTTTACTATTTTACCAGGCAAGGGTAACTGTAAAGGCTTCCAGTTGGCCTTCCCAATCATAATAGCCCTCACACTGCAGTTCAGAGAACCAATGTGAGGATTCTGCCAAGTACTAAGCAAGTCTATCCCAAGTATGCATTCTAGAACTGCTGAGTCACTTAGCCAAACTTCTGGACTCCCCAAGTTGACACAATGTATCAACCATAACAACCTGTAAATGCATTTTAATGCATTCATGTGTTGAGTATGTCTTTTAGATGTTTATACATCTTAATTACATTTCTGTCAATGCCGAGACAAAATACCCCACACCCAAACTTAAAGAAGGAAAGGTTCATTTAGCTCACAGTTTGTAGAACTTTCCATCCATAATTGGCTGACTCCAAGGCTGGGTGGCACATGGCAGAGGGGCTATTGTTCATGTGGGAGGAAGATAACAAAAGCAACAAGATCAAAAGGGGGAGACAAACCTCTTTCTGTCCCTTATATTGGAACCAGTCTATCGGGATTAGGGCAGTGCTAATTCAATCTATGGACTAATCCAGCAGTCACCCAACCTTAATCCCAGCATTGCATACTGTAGATTCAACCACCTCTGAAAAACTTCTATAACCGAATGAGGCTTTGGTGGACATCTAGACACAAACCATAATGCCCCTTTACTTTTATTTCACTTTAGATGCTATCATTTGGGTTTATATTGCTTGAATTCTTTTTTTTAAGTTTTTAAGTTTATAGGTACAATTTAGATATACATAATGATCACATTCATCATAGGGAATTTGTACCTGTATATGATTTATCTTTATTCCTTTTCTTTTTCCCATTCCATTCCCTGCACTTCAACCCTTCTTTCCTCCTTATTTACAAAGCTTTCTTGCATTTTACCTGCCTTTTCTCATTCTTTTTCTTATTCCTTCCTGTCCCCTTCCACTCATCCTAGGTTGTTTTACATTTTGAACAATTTTTACCTATTTCACAATGTACATTATACATTT